TGTAGATGAATGAAACAGAGTAAATACACTGTATCAACAATGTTATATTGTATCTCTTATTCAAACTTCTGAACATTGTCTAACAATACTGATCAGAAGCTTTGTTTTGACAGCAGCGTCAATCACAACTGTAATACACAGCCGGTATAGGTGACGGGATAAGTGGAAGCAATGGAATATTAGTTGTTGGGGCCTGTTGATTCCATGGTCATGTTGGTTGCTTGGTTGCTTGGTTGTAGGTACCTCTCTTTAGAGCAAATCTGAGGCTATTAAAAAAATGTAAAGGAAGTGCTCCATGCAAAGAAGACAGTGAGTACTCACCCGCTGTGGTGTCCCTAGCTTTTTTGCCACCTGAGATGGCACAGGGGGGTGGATGTTTAGCGATGGGGCTCTGGCTGTCGTCCCACCCAGCTCTCGCTGGTTGACATCACTGGTTTTAGGAGCCACACCATCCCAGGTTGCTAACAGTTGGTTGGGGAGATGTATATGGCCCTTACACATCTCCCTGCCCGGCTCTTAAAAACTTTGGATGCTCTGGCCGGACAGGGGGTGGCAAGCACACAGCAAACATTGTGCAGCAGAGTGGCCATGCCACTCTGCCTGCAACCCCTCATGTGACTCAAAGAGATGCCGCCCTGCTTACGAGCCCTACTGCCCATTACTCTAAACGTTGTTCTGTTGAAGGAATGAGCTAGCTGAAAAGGCTCCCAGGTGTATGTAATGCCTGGTCCCCCTCTGCGCCCTGTAGTTTCAACCACTGACCCCAATGGCACCACTACAGCACTGAGGGACCACTCATTAAACACATATTCAGCAAGCTGAATCATCAGCAAAGCAAAGTTTGGTGGCATGTGGTGGGACAGGTAAGTATTAATCGTTTTACAAGAAGCTCTTTCATCATTCTTTAAAATTGATTTAGGCGCCCATGAGCTACATTGTAAATGGCTGTGAGTAACAATAATCTTGGGGTGATTTCAGCAGCCATGTTTTACACGCGGAAGCAACACGTGTCCCTATCCCCCATAACAGCCCTCAAAATTTGAGGATGCAGGCTGCAAAGTAGCACTGCAAAGTAAGGCATCAGGAAAAGCAAAGGCAGGTTATAAAAAGTACTTGAGAAAATGAAGATAGCGCAGCAAAGATGTCACAGATACAAAATGTTATTAAGGTGAATTACAATTTATTAGAAGGATAAGAAATTAATTTAAAATATATGGACTGATGATCCTCAATAGTCTCAGTGATAATTTAGGTCACATGTAAATCCCACTTCAAACAAGACAGACTGAAAATGTTGTAAATTGAATGAAATGTAACGCTGAATTAATGCAAAAGAAAACCTCCGCAAAGTATATTAAAGGAAGACATTTCTTCATGAAGTGTTGAGCTGGGAGAGATGAAAATATTTTTGCTGGTTTCTGAGTCTTTAGTTTCATACTGATCCTCTAAGATGATTCTTGTGTACTGATCTTTTGACACTAAGAAGTATAAATTCTTCTCCTTTCGGAGGAATCCTCTGGAGACGCATCCACATTTAATGACTGCAAATGGATGTTCTTCTCAAGTGTTTCTCCAGTTTACTCTTTCAACAACATGAAAGTATTTAAAGAGGTTCTGCACTGAAAATTATTATTAAAACAGGAAATAAAAGATTCTGCCTCTAACTATTGGGTGTTGCCCCTACCCATGGTGCTTTATATAGTCGGGCTGCTTATCAAAGACCAAATCATAAAGCAGCACCTAAGTGTTGGGTAAAGATTGTATAAGACTACTGGGATTTAAGGTAGATGAAAACCCTAACTGAATAATAATTTGTTTTCTGCTCATCTCATGCAGCCTCTTTGCATCCATGTAATCTCTACATGTACTCCACATATGGCTGTATTAAATTTCTGATGGTGGGTGTCCTAATGGTGATAACAGTGGATCGTGTGTGCATAATGTATGTTGAAATGGTCACTCATAGTCTCCATTGGACGAACGGGCGACAGGATGACAACACAGGAATGCAATTGTGAAACAAGGTCAGAGCATTGTCATCCTAGTGCCTGAACAAGGACCTTTATGGCAGGATCACCAGAGATTGTTGTAACCACTTCAGGACCGCCGCACGTGCATAAACGTCCATGACAAGATCATGGCTGCTGCTGCAGGTGAGCTTGTTTCGTACAGGTGAGATCACTTGTAGCAGCCTGCGGTAGTGCTTGTTATCCCCTGTGTGATAGCAATAAAGTTAAGTGAAAAAAGGGATAAAAAATAAAATGAAAATGAAAATAAATTAAAACCAACCCTGTTGCCCCCGCAATCTGTATTAAATAAAATTGCATGAGTATGTAAACAACGATTGCACCACATGTTGCTATCGCTGGGAACGTTGGAGTGAGAGCAATAATTCTAGGTCCATAATTCACTGTTAAATCCTAAAGCAGTAAAGGCTTTTAAAGCATCCCCATATGAACAATTTTGAGTACCATAATTTTTCGCCATTGCATGGGCGTACACAATTTTAATGTTTGACATGTTTGGTATCTATTACTCGATGTAGCCCCATCTTTACATTTTACCAAAAAATGGGTATTATCTTCTGTTCCCTTTTGTTCCTCATGGTCCCTGTGTGTGTTGCAAAGTTGCCTTGTTAACTCGCTCCTGTGATGGACTACAATCTCTATACAAATTAGCAATCTAAACATGAGATTGTAGTCCATCACAGGAGTGAGCTTGGAGAGGTGACTACTTTACAACACACACAGGGACCATGGGGAACAAAAGTAGCCACCCTCCAGAAGGAAGGACAGTATCAGCACCAATTCAGAGATGATTTGAGGATCTACAGCCGAGTGATACACAAATAAGATACATTGTTGTTAATAGTTCAGGTACTTGAATGCATTTTTAAGATTTAACTCCAGAGTTTAGTGTCACTTTAAGTATGGATAATAGTTAGTCACATTCAACTGGACGTGTTCTGTAATGTTGAAATGGTTTCACTGCCTATCCAGCTCTTAGAGCTGAGGAAGCTGTTTGAATGACAATAAAACATCTTAAACATTAGAGAAGGAAGTAGAATAAATGGAGGACTGACACCAGGCAGGTCTTCAAGAACAAGCAGAAATTCAGGCGTGTTGAAAGAATATGGGCTACTTATAGGGATTTGATTGATGGAAACATATGTGAACCATAACCGTAACCTTGAATTATCTCCAAAAATCAGATAACAATGCCACCCTGTACTCTTTTATTAGAAGGTGACAAGAACATTAGATGGATCTTCTTGTCATGATAAGACTCCCTCACACCAAGGTTAGAGGACAGGTGCCCTGGCATTGAACCTATTGTTCCGTAAAGTGATATGATCGTCAAATTTTGTTTTTTTATTACAGGTATTTAGATAGACCTGACAATTTACACAGCGCTTTACATACTGTGCATTCACATCAGTCCCTGCCCTCAAAGAGTTTACCATCTAAGGTCCTAATTGCATACAAGGCCTATTTAGACAGGAGCCAGTTAACCTAACAGCATGTCTTTGGAGTGTAGGCGGAAACTCACACAAGCACAGGGAGAACATGCAAACCCATTGCATATTGTGTCCTGACCGGGATGCAAACCAGGGACCCACAGTGCTGCCAGGCAGACGTGCTAACCACTTAGCCACCGGTTTTATGCTATTTCAAATGCTAATTAAATTACTTACAATGGATGCTAGCTCTTGATGTTAAAAAGTTTACATTTTCTCCAGAATCATCTGGTCCCCTCAGCACTGGCCTTGATATCCTGTATTAGGATGGCTCCTTTCCCCTTGCAGGGTCCAATGGAGCCGCCCTTGTGTGTGTTAGTAAACTGTGTATCTCCACTCTTCCCTTCTACAAGCTAGTAGATGGAGAGCTGCTGCAGGCTGCGCTGTCCCTTGCGATTTTGTGCAGAAGGGAAGCAGAGCAGAGAGAGCTGTTCGGACACATGCTAACTGTTAGAGCTTGGTACTTTTCTGGGCAATGTATATTTGTTTGAATTGGATTCATTATTGAAAAAAGGTGTTCTGCATATTGCTTATTCATACAACTAATTATATATCTATTATAATGTATATGATTTTTCAACTATAAGTTAGGATATTAAAGATATATAATATCTTTAACCATAATCATTTAGTAATATATTGAGAATGATTAATATATAGATATTGATTACACATATAAACACTATTATTTGTGCATTATATAAATGCAGGGCTAATCAGTTGACTCAATCAGTTCGTTCTCTACAATACATTACTAACATGAAAATAGAGATTTCATATGAAATGTATGTATTGTATGTAAAATGCTCTGCAAGGCTAAAACTTTCAGTAACCTAAAAGAGAACTATGAGGTGAGCGAACATCATGCATTCTCATAGTTTGAGCTGAGGTGTGACAATGAAACTGTCACACTTCGGCTCAATAGATCGGGAAGTGAGCGAACGCATACCGTCGCTCTCTCACTTCTCGATCATCTCCCTGCAGAGAGCCGTGACTGTCACTCACGTCTCCCCGCAGGAATTCCCCCCCCATCCCCGCTCCGATCCTCCAGAGCTCAGCGGAGGAACGGACGGGGCGGGTACAGCTGGCTTTGCCTCTAGGTAGGCAGAGCCAGCTGTCATTCACGCAGCTGGGTGGATCTCGAAAGTAATGTCGGGATCCGGCCAGGCTGCGGTGGTCTCAGTATAGCGCGAGCTGTAGCTCGAGATATACTGACCTTTGGGTCACGTGAGGATGCTAGTATGTGTCCTCCAGTGACCCTAAAGAGAACTATGGGGAAAAAACACCTACCTCATAGTTCTCTTTTAACTATAGTAATAATTGCATTACAAGTGTTTATGCTGATTAATATCGACATGAAATGCATGGGTTAATATCCTGTTGAAGATGACTATTACCAGCTATACTATAACCTGGATGAGGAGAACCTTCACAGACAACTTCTTTCAGTATGAATCTTAATACCTTTTCCATTGACATCTAGGCCAGATCTGGTCAGTGATTGGGTTGCCATAACAGAGCGGGTGCAGATGGACTCGATGGTTCTGAAAGGATTAATTCCCGACACCAAATACCAGTTTGCGGTGAAGGCAGTGAACGCCTTTGGAGAAAGTTTACTCAGCATTCCTAGCGAAGTTATCAGGACATTCCGTAAGTAGAATTTAGAAACATCCTAATTTTTATTTTTTTATTTTAGAAGTTTGTAATGTACAGCTGGCAGAAAATTCACTTCTGAAGCAACAAATAGCTTCTGGCTACATCCAGCTCCCACGTAGTGTAGTGGCCATGCTGGAGATTATTAAATCCGAGCTATTGGTAATATTCTCAAGACTTCAGAACAAATACTAATCCTTTAGAAGCTTTCCCTCCTGGGGGTTACATTCACACTTATATTTGGATCACTGGCCAATGCTGTTGTCACCTTCTGCATTATTAATAGATGGAATCACACTGTGGAGAACAACATAAGGGGACATTCAAGGCTTGAAATTGGATGGTCTTTCGCTGTGAACTCCTAACATTTAACCTGTCCGTGATTGAAGCATTGCAATGTGTCCGTGACCTTAAGAACATCATTGTACTGTAATAAGATCAGTTTCCAGAGAATGATCCTGTAAATCAAGAGAATTCATAGTCCTTAAAAAGTTTTTGTATTTTTTTTATTTGTAAAACATGTGCATGAATGTGGCCAGATTAAAGGTACACACTTGGCAAACTTGGAAATGTAACTGTAAAGTGAACCTGTCAGTTGACCATGCATTTGAATATAGCCATTCACAAAGTTAGATGTTGGATGTCCGGGTCACATGTTTCTCAATGTCTGGAAGCAGGGAAGTCCCTTAGATATTTGACTCCTGAGGCAAACTGATGTCGTTCTGGGGAGTTAAGGGGTGGGGTGTGTGTGGGGGGGGTCTGCTGGCAGGGAATGGTCACCCAGGGGGGGTTATTATTGTGCTGATTTGTTGTTCGAGGTGGGGCGGACGCCAGACTGCCCTTTGACTCTCTCCAGCATCCTGCCCAACTGGTTGCCAGGAACTTGGCGGGACGCGAGCCAGAGCACCCCGCTCAGCTCCTGGCAACCGGTGACGTCATTGAACAGGGCAGGAAGCAGTTTGTCACAGTTTGCGAGGAGCTCTTAGCAATGTGGGACACTGTGGCTGCCCCCTATCCTACTTGGTACCATTGTTCTCATTTAAGAAAAGCCAGTACTAAGACATTTCTCACCATATGCATAGCAAGGTGCATATTCTATTTGGACTATAGTTTACCATTAAAGGAGAACTATGAGGTGAGTGCTTTTCACTCACCTCATAGTTCTAGCCGACCTGTGACAATGAGACTGTCACAGGTCGGCTCAGTAGATCGGGAGGTGAGCGAACACATACCAGCGTTCGCTCACCTCTTGATCCTGTCACGGCTCTCTGCCGTGACAGTGGAGGGGCTGGATTCCCCCCTCCCCGCTCCCATCTGCCAGCACTGACTGGCGGAACGGACGGGGGAGGGGCCGGGTAAAGCTGGCTCTGCCTCTAGATAGGCAGAGCCAGCTGTCAGTCACGCAGCTGGGCGGATCCCGGCAGAATTGTCAGGATCCGCTTCAGCTGCGGCGTCTCAGTATACCGCGAGCTACAGCTCGCGGTATACTGAGCCTAGGGTGACGGGAGGATGCCAGTTTGTGTCCTCCCGTTACCCTCAGGAGAACTATGGGGAAAAGCCTTGACCCCATAGTTCTCCTTTAAAGTGTATGGCAATCCTAACAATGAGCTTCTTATTGTTGCCCCTTTTTCCCTTTTAAATACAATATTACAATTATTTTGTTATATCTGTGCAAAAAAATACCTGTTAGTCTTGCCAGAAATGTAATGCTGTTCTATGTCCTGTGCTCACTTCATGTGTTATCCCATGGAGTCTAATCAGCCATCCCAATGCTTATCTTGGACTACAAAACAATTACTCTCTATGTTGGGGAGATTGGGAGAAGGGTAGGTATTCTGTAGTTCAGCAGAAGCATCTGGGCATGGTTGACATTATTCAGTCTATAAAAATGCCGTGTGTTGCACAACAGGAATTTGGAGCTGAGTGCAGATCAACGGGTATTTTCTGTACTTGCAGGGTCATTATAAGGATAAAACACGGGGAAAGCTGCATGCATTGCAAAAAAGTACTGGATTTTTCTTTTTTTGCGTTAACATACAGTTATTATGATATACATATCCAGCTGGAATGACACTGACACACAATACCCTATATACTGTATGCACAACAATCTCTAGGAGGCTTTTAATTCATTTTACCGTAACAAGTTTGCTTTATTCACTGACAAATACATAGACACTACACAAAGCACCTGATCCTTATATGAAAAACCACCATGAAAGTAGCTGGTTGCCCAGGCACTCTAGGTTGCATTTTTATAGGAATCTCGTAAAAACATTGATGCGGGTCAGTTTTCAACTCCTGTGGGATAGTGAATACTCACTCAAGGACAGGATAGATACCGCACAGCTACTCAGGTATCATGGCTTCTGGGGGATCTGATATTCGGATAGCCACACATAACGCACAGGGCCTTAACTCGCCTGTTAAAAGGTGAGTAGCCTTTAACTATTACCACTCCCAAAAAATAGATGTGCTCTTTGTACAAGAAACGCACTTTCCTAATGGTTACAATCCATCTTTTATACATAAGCATTATACTCAGTATCACCTTGCCAATGCGGCAGATAAATCCAAGGGGGTGGCCATACTGTTTGCTAAACATATTCTCTTTAGGTTACACTTAGAAATTAAAGATCCCGAGGGACGCTATCTATTGCTGAAAGGCACTATCGGTGAGCGACTGTTCACGTTCATTTCTTATTATGCTCCGAACAGGGTGAAAATCCCCTTCTTTACGCATCTTTTCGCGACTCTGTCTCCTCATATAGAGGGTACAGAGGTACTAGCCAGAGACTCCAATTTAGCTTTAGATTATTATATTGATAAATCTCATCCCCCTAAAGTCAGACTAAAATATCCCCCTAAGCGCGGAGTGAAGCTGGCAAAGCTTCTTCACGTACACCATCTAGTGGATGCATGGCGCGAATGTAATCCCTCTTTGAAGGACTATACCCATTTTTCCCATCCCCATTCTACGTATGCTCGTATAGATCACATTTTTGTCCCTCCCCAGATGCTGGATGGCATTAGATCTGTAAGAATTAGAGAGGTCTCCTGGTCTGACCATGCTTTAGTTGTCATGATTTCTTCAGTGGCTCAACCTGCTCGAGGGATGGGCCAGTGGAGACTCAATGACTCACTCCTCAGTGATCCTGGGGTGGTTGCAGAGGTTCAGACCTTATTGATGGAGTACTTCCGTATTAATACCCATTCAGTCCCTTCGTCCATCACTAATTGGGAGGCTCACAAGGCTACCTTAAGGGGGCACTTTATTTCTATTGCCACACGTAAGAAACGCCAACGGACATCCCATATCTCCAAATTGGAGGGGCAGCTGTTGGCTTTAACACATAAGCATAAATACAACTCAACGAGGGCTCTTCAAGATCGTATTGACCAGACTCGGTTAGATCTAAATTTAGCCCTTACAACTGTGGCGGAGCGGAGTCTCCGCTGGTCACAACATAGATTTTACTCTCAAGGGGATATAATTGGGCATCTTCTAGCGGGCAAATTATCCCCTAGGGTTCGTAACTACTCAATCCCCAAAATAAGATGCGCAACTGGAACTTATTCGCAGAACCCCAAGGTGGTAATTCAGGAGTTTGAATCCTTTTACACCAGATTATATGCTAATACTCATGCTTCATCTAAGTTATTAATACAGCAATTTTTAAGATCTTTTTCATTACCTAACCTCAACCCTGAACATGTTGCCTTATTGGAAGGACCAGTTACTCAGACTGAAATTAAACTAGCTATTAAACAGGCTAAGGTATCTTCAGCCCCTGGCCCAGATGGCTTTACAGCTAGTTATTATAAGAAATTCGAAGAGACACTTGTGCCCCATTTGGAAGCCCTTTTTCTAGCCATCAGTAAGGGGGAGCCCCTGAGTCCTCATATGAACGAGGCATTTTTAAGTTTGATTCCTAAACCTAACAAAGATCCAGGAGAAATAGCTAATTATAGACCTATATCTTTGATTAACAACGATTGTTAAACTGCTAACTAAAGTTATGGTCAATAGACTCAACACTTTTTTGCCCAAATACATTGACAAAGATCAAGTAGGGTTTATTAGAGGGAGGCAGGGACCAGATCAAATTCGTAGGGCAATCGATATAATATCTCTGCTAAAATCCGGGTGGGGTAAAACTTCAGGACCTCCTGGTTTGCTACTATCAATTGATTTGCAAAAAGCCTTTGACTCAATATCCTGGACTTATCTCTTCACAATTTTAGAAGAGTGGGGGTTTGGCAAACAATTTATTTGCCTACTCCGGAACTTATACTCCTTTCCCTCAGCTACTATTAAAATGCAGGGATTTAAATCAGCCCGAATTCCGATCTACAAAGGGACTAGACAAGGCTGCCCCCTCTCCCCCTTATTATTCGCACTAGCGATTGAGCCTCTAGCTATTTCAATACGGGAAAATTTAGATATTAAAGGGGTATATTGTGGATGTAGGGAACACAAATGTGCCTTATTCGCAGATGACCTTTTACTGTTCCTTACTCACCCATTAACCACTCTGCCTAATGTGATGTCCTCCCTTGAACGTTTTGCGAAGGTATCTGGGCTTTACATAAATGCAACCAAGTCTTTGGCTTTGAATATAAATTTGCCCCATGGGTTAGTGACTATATTAAAAGGTGCATTTCCATTCATATGGCCGACAACCACATTACCCTACTTGGGGGTTAACCTTACACCCTCTTATGATCTTTTGTATCGGGCAAACTTCCCTCCTATGTTTGAGAAACTAAAGGGGGATTTAGAGAAGTGGTCCTCGTACAATCTATCGTGGCTTGGGAAAATAAATGCTATCAAAATGGCTCTCCTCCCGCGCTTGTTATATCTATTCAGGGCACTCCCCATTCCTGTACCTAGAGCCCAGCTAGCTAATTTTCAAGCTGGCTTAGTGAAATGTATATGGGGGGGGGGAAGGGCTATCGACTACCCAGGGTAACGCTTTACAGTACCAGAGAGTCAG